CCCTCCGCGGCCCACCTGGCCGCCATCTGGGCCTGCCGTGTGTGACCCGGGGTGGCGCGACGCAGTGCGGGATCCGGGCCTGCCATCTGCCACCCGGGAGCGGGCCTAAGCCAGCAGGTGGTTATATCTTCCGAGGTCCCAGACTGTGAGAGGGCACAGGCCAGGCTGAGGGATCCCGCCCCCCACCCCCCAGTGCACAAATTTTTGTGCACCGGGCCTCTAGTCTATTATAAACTGATAAAGTTATAAGAAACGGAAAATGAAGAATATTTGTATATTTGCATTTCACTTAAATTGTCTTGTTTTCTAGATTAGTTTTCTTACACCCAGCCACATCCCTGGCATCATTAGATTATGAGGTCTTCTAGGAAAGCTAGAATGTGTGTCATATTTGTCCAGCTTGTTTGTAGTTGTTAAGTAAATATTCGTTCCCTAAATAAATTTGTGTTTATTTTAGTTGTGTTTTTGCCTCTTTTAAGTATGAATGTATACTTTATTCTGTTAATTGATTTTAGAAGGTGAACTAACTACATTTGACCTCTTGAAACAAGCAGATCACTTTTGTTTTTATTTTATAAATTGACTTCTTTTTTATAACCTAAAATGGATTGTGATACAGATACCTGGAAACTGGAGTAGAATAATTGGATTTAAACAGTTAAGTTCTAGTTTTGTCCTTTGCTGGTGGTGTGATGTAGGGCATGTCACATAATTTCTCTATTTTCTTATCTTTAAACTGGTATATTTATACTATATACATAGTAAGCCATTACATTGGTCTCGCTCTCTCTTTTTAACAGAAAATGGCTTTTATTATTTCAGAGCAAGGACAGTTGACTGTTAAATAATGCAAGGGTTAGGGGTGCTGACCCCTCACCTCCCTCCCTCCGTCCCTCTCTCCCCCCTCATAGTCAAAACTTCATATATAACTTGATTTGCCAAAAACTTAACCACTAATAACCTGCTGTTAACTGGAAGCCTTACTGATAACATGAATAGTCAATTAACCATATTTTGTATGTTATGTATATTATATACTGTTTTCTTATAACAGATTAAGCTAGAAAAAAGGAAATATTATGAAAATCATAAGAGAAAATACATTTAGAGTATTTATTGAAAAAAATTGTGTCTAAATGGACCTGCACAGTTCAAATGCATGTTGTTCAAGGATCAGTGAATATTGAAATAACAGCACACTTGTTAAAAACAGTAAAAAAAAATATTTTTATATAGTTCTATTTGTGTGCTGATGTATAGTCCCAGCACTGGAGATGACCTCTCATGGGACTCAATTTTGAAATGTATTTTACTTTCCTGTTTCAGTAAAATTAATACTAGAACTTGAGTTTAATGAACTGCATGCTAATAGAGATACAGTTTGAGTATGCTAGGTAATAGAGGGAAACTCAGTCTGGGATTAAAAACCAAAGAAGCTGGCCCATGTGGCTCAGTGTTTGGAGCATCAGCCCACACACCAAAGGGTGTAATTCCCCGTCAAGGGCACATGCCTGGGTTGAAGGTTCAATCCCTAGAGCAGTGATGGCGAACCTTTTGAGCTCGGCGTGTCAGCATTTTGAAAAACCCTAACTTAAGTCTGGTGCCGTGTCACATATATAAATTTTTTGATATTTGCAACCATAGTAAAACAAAGACATATTTTTGATATTTATTTTATATATTTAAATGCCATTTAATAAAGAAAAAAATCAACCAAAAAAATGAGTTCACGTGTCACCTCTGACACGCGTGTCATAGGTTCACCATCACTGCCCTAGAGGGTGCTTGGGGGAGGCAACCAGTTGATGTGTCTCTCCCACATCGATGTTTCCCTTCCACCCTCCTTCCCTCTCTCAAAATCAATGGGAAAAAAAAGAAAAATCAAGGGGAAAAATATCCTTGGGTGAAGATTAACAACAACAAAAAACTAACCACAGAATTAGAGTCGGAGACATCAGTATGAACTCATGTTTAGTTTAAAATGTGTATAGATACATACAGAAATAATTATATGTGTGTGTGCTTATACTTAAATTAGTACACATACAGCTTTTTCTCTGCTGAGAGGGTCTAGAACAGTGATGGCAAACCTTTTGAGCTCGCATGTCAGCATATTGAAAAACCCTAACTTAACTCTGGTGCCGTGTCACATATAGAAATATTTTGATATTTGCAACCATAGTAAAACAAAGATTTATATTTTTGATATTTATTTTATATATTTAAATGCCATTTAACAAAGAAAAATCAACCAAAAAAATGACGTCGCGTGTCACCTCTGACACGTGTGTCATAGGTTTGCCATCACTGGTCTAGAAGCTAGTAGACACCGTGCCCAGATCTTGATTTCTAAATATTATTCTGAAGTAAAAGCAAGCAGGAGTCCTTGGAGAAATGGCTGATTTTATGGATGGAGCAAGGAAAATACAAGATGACACTAGAGCATCTAGTAGTGCCAGAAAGTAAGGAAGCACTTGAAAAAAAATGATGGGCCCATGTCAAAGCAACACAGGAGCCAATCTGAAAGAGCTCCAACTGTCTAGAGCAGGAACAATATGAGCAACAAAATAATCTAGTATTTGATTATTACCCAAAGTAGAACAAAAATATAAACGAGTCCATGCTGATATAAATAAATGTTTGAATAAATACATAAATAGGGGAGAAGGGATGAATCTTCTCCCCATACCCTCCTAACCTCCTGCCCCCTTCAGAAGCATCCCTAGGTATGGGCTGAACTAAAGAATAGATGGAAGAAAAAAATAGTAACTTAACAATGAAGAAACCTGGCAAATACTACCTGAAACAAGTGATAAAGAATAACATCATCATGAAAAATAAGGAAAGACTAAGAAACTGATGTTTGACCAGAAGAGATTAAGAAGACATGATGACCAAATGCATCGTGGTGTCTTAGACTGGATTCTGGAACAGAAAAAGGATATTAGTAGAAAAACTAATGAAACTTGTATAAAGTCAG